AGCTGGAATTGACAGGCATGAGGTACTGGCACCCACCTGGACTATTCTATCTTCTAAGAGCTCAGGAGCCACCAGTGCACGGCTGGTGTTTTGTTTTGTTTTGTTTTTGTTACCAGTCCTGAGCCTTGAACTCTGGACTTGGGCACTGTCTCTAAGCTCCTTTTGCACAAGGCTAGTACTCTACCAATTCTGGCTTTTTCTGTGATTAAATGGAGATAACAGTCTTATGGAGGTCTGGGAAGTTGGCTCAGTGGTAGATTGCTTGCCTTGCATGCATGAGGCCCTGGGACCCAATCCTCAGCACCACGTAACCAGAAAAAGCCAGAAGTGGTGCTGTGGCTCAAGTGGTAGAGGGCTAGTCTTGAGCTGAAGAGCTGAGAGACAGCACCCAGGCCTGGAATTCAGGCCCTACAACCTACAAAACAAAAAACAAAACAAAGAGTCTTATGGACTTCCCTGCCTAGGCTGGCTTCAAACTGCCATCCTCAGATCTCAGCCTCCTGAGTATCTAGGGTTACAGCTGTGAGCCACCGGTGTCTGGTTGGTGAGATTTGTTGTTGGTGGAACTCAGGGCCTGTGCGCTGTCCCTGAGCTCTTTTGCTCAGGGCTAGTGTTCTACCACTTTGAGCCATAGCACCTCTCCCTGGTACTTTCTCTTATGGAGGCCACCAGACCAAGGCTGTCACTCAAGGTACAGTAGTAGCTGGAAGGACATCAGTTGACAACTAATACTTTCTTCCCAATCCCCTAGGAGCCTCTCTGTTTCTGTACCTTTGGGGACCTATTATCTGAGTCTGGTCTTTAGCTGGCTCCAGTAGGGCTTCTAGCTTCTACCCACCTTAAGTCCTACTGGAGGCAAGTTCCAACACATCCAGGGTACCTGGAAGGGGCTAGCTTGGAGCTGGAGAAATTGCCAAGGTGATTGCTTCTTCCTGGTGGGACAGTCTGGAGGGAAGTGAAGAGTACACCCATGGAATTCTTGTTGAAGCCATTGGCTCTCCAAAGGACCTCAAAGCCTGTGAGTCTAAAACCTCATTTTTAAAAATTAACTAACTAGGGCTGGGAAGGTGGCTCAGTGGTAGAGCACTTGCCTTGCATGAATGAGGCCCTGGGTTCAATGCCTCAGCACCACCTAAGCAAAAAAAAGCTGGAAGTGGCACTGTGGCTCAAGTGGTAGAGCGCTAGCCTTGAGCTGAAGAGCTGAGGGACAGCGCCCAGGCTCAGATTCAGGCCCCACAAAAAAATTAACTAATTAATTATTGTGCTGGTAGTAAGGCTTGAACTCAGGGCCTGGATGGTGAACTAAGTGTTGCTTTCTTTTCACTCAAGGCTAGTACTCTATACTTGAGCACAGTTCAACTTCTGGGTTTGGGGTGTTTAACTGGAGAGAAAGCGTTTCACAAATTTTCCCATCCAGGCTGGTTTCAAACCTTGATTCTCAGATCTCGGTCTCCTGAGTTGTTAAAATTACAGGCATGAGTCACTGATACTCAATGTTAACCTCACTTTACTAATAAGGAAACTGAGCACAAGAGAAGGAAGGAAAATTAATATCTCTATCAGTCCTTTCTCTGTGCTAGTCTGAGGAAATATTTTGTATGTATGTATGCATATATGTATGTATGCATGCATGCATATATGTATGTATGTATGTGTGCATGTGTATATGTGTGTTTGTATGTTTGTTTGTTTTTGGTCCAGTCGTGGGGCCTGAACTCTGGGCCTGGGCACTGTCCTTCAGCTCTTCAGCTCAAGGCTAGTGCTCTACCACTTGAGCCACAGCGCCACTTCTGGC